CCGCTAATTCCAATAAGAGTCAAATGACGTAATCGAGTGAATTGATGCATTTGAAAAATCGACAGAAATAGACTAATCTGACCTGGAGTTTCGATACCATCGGAAAGTGTAAGCGAAATAATATTTTCTGGTTGTAAAAGAGAACAGATAGAATGAAAATTCGATTTCGAAATTGAACTCAAATCAATTTCGTATCGATTATAAGTTTTCACAATGGCATGAAATCGTTGACAAATATAACCGAACGACAGTAGAATAGTTTCAGAATTGAGATGATCAAATATTCGATAGAATAATTCAACTGGTAATGTATCAAGAGAGACTCGCACGTTCTTATGTGTTGACATCTTGTATATGTTTGTCGAATGAAAAGAAAAATGAAAACTGCATTTACCAAGAGCACGTGTTCTTTTTCTAACTTGCTTTCGTATAAATTTTGTCACTGTCAATACTAAAAAAAACATTGACTCATACTTCTTGTTTTACTTCCGACGAATGAGTCATGCCGAAACATCGCAATAGCCACCGTTATTTGATAATAAGCCAAGATAAAGAACAGACAGTCAACTATTGAATTGCATGCGGGTGAAGATCGGAGCGCGAAAAGGTTGAATTCTTACATTATCAAAATGTATATAGACATGATAATGATAAACATTATTACATGAAGAATTATATAGGCACAAATCGGCAAGAGCTAAAATTTTGAATTCAAAGACTTTGAAATACAGCCAATATTTTTGACATATGATGGTCTCACAGTAAAATCCCTGATGCTCTTGCAAATCGTCTCTTACGCTCACCAAAGCAGCTTGATAATAGCTTAAAGTGAGAAATCTGTTTCACATGAGATTTCTATCAAAACATAATAAATAAGAGTGAAATAACAAGTAAGGTTTTTTTAGGCTATACTGAAAATGCAACAATCTATTTGCTATTTGTAGATTTGTCAAAATTTTTGATATTTTCTTCTTAATGTCTGATAAGAAAGGCTGTTGTCTCCTCTTGTTAAATATTTTGAATCAACTAAATAAGTAAACTCAATTTCAAAACGAGTAAACTAAAAGGCATATAGAACTATACAACCAAAAACACATTGACAGTGTGAGCTAAGTGCCTCCTCGTTCAAAATTTAGACGTTGCTTGTCACTAGGGTATGGGTGTGGGTGTGGGTGTCTTGTCTTCTCTTATAATCCCAGTCACAGTCACAGCCACACCCTCACTGGGCAGGTTTTGCTTTTTTCATATAGCCTAAAATGAAAAGAAGGAGGAAACAGCAGCCTAACTAGTCTAGTTCCTAATTATCAGAATGGTGAATTCATTAATGTCTGTCATGAGCAGTGGAGAAGAGCCGCAAAAATCTCGCTCTTAAACTTACACTCACCATTTTCTTCGAAAATATATGTGAGTTCCAGAGAAAGGAAGTCATTGCAGATTGATTTGAATCAAAAAAATTGTAATTTTGAAGTATAAGCGTCCAATCAGTAACACGAGCAATATGTCCATGAAACTAGATCTATGCTATTTGAAACACATACCTATTTCCAACTTATAATTATTTGAAGAAAAAGGGAAAAAAAGCGAACAGATGATAAATGCAACTGATTACTTTATAGACACCAGAGACTTCTGCAGGGCAGGGTAGGAAAAAATCCTTGTGCCTTGAAAATTCTAAATACTAGATTATTTTTTAAAAACAATTGTCATGATTTACTTCAAAGATTTTTGTCGAACTACTTGCAAAAAGAACTCAAATGTAGTTATGAGACGATACCTAGAACTATCGTATATCTATGGAAAACGAAATAGATGAGGAAAGAACCACTGTAATAGAAATATATTTCTAAGTGTTGCTCAATTTCTTGCTAGTCGACTGTGGCAAACAAACAAGATTACAAATACAACATCTTCTAGTCCTAATTAACTCCATGATACTCATTCTTCCTCTACTGCATCATACATAATCAATCAATTACAGCTAATGTTACTAAAAAAAACAAAGAATTGAAATATGAGAAAGTGAACAAAATCATGTTAGAAAAAATTAAATATACTTCGTTTTCTTTACTTAATTTCTCTCTCACATTCCATGTAAAAAGAACGTTAAAAAATCCATTGAAATGGCGTTGTTTTCTCTAATTTGAAGATTTTTTTGATTCGTCTAATCAGTCGAATTTTATTAATCGATTACAATCGTTTAAATTGCAGCAATCTATTATAAGGAGAAGAAAAAAGCCTTCAAATTAGAGCAAATCAAAAATTTAACGGAAAATATCAGATTCTATCAAGATTAAAATAGTGACATCTTATTTGCTTTTTAATCAAAAAACTATCAATTTTAATCTGATTTCTTCATGTTTTTTTACTTTATTACGTGCATAGTTGGATGTCAGTGTTTGAACTTATACGTAGACGATGCGTTTTTAGTATTCTCTTCGTCATGCAAGACGCAAGTTCTGTGGTGCAAGGCAGGACAGAGAAGAGCAAGATGTAAAAGTGCCATGTGGGCATCTGTAATAGACTATCAACTGTGACGAATAACATAAGAGAAGAAGAAATCATGTCATTCATTCTTTGTCTATTTACATCATTAGATTATAGAAAAAATAGACATCATTGTTATTATTGATCAGATAGAACGAGTGATTATAAATATATGTTTTAGGCAAAACTAGAATGCGACTATAGAAAAATTTACATTATCAAACTCATTAAAACCGAATAGAATATTTTCTTTTATTCAACAATATTTCTTCATTTAACTAAACAATTTAATCTATTCATCCGTATAAGTACAACCACTTTGTATGGGTGAATAGATTAATATCTTTTGTCTTGTAAATTGTTTAGTTAAAGGAAGAAATACAACATACAAATGACATTTATAACGTAAGATAAATAGATATTCATATAGATCAACATAGAATATTCATCTGTTCAATTGAATGATTTACTCAATGAAATTCTTTTGATTATTTTCAAAAATTTAAACAATATTTATCTACTTTACTCTCTTATAGGTGTTAATAAACGACTTAATAAAAGTGTGCATGATTCTATGTTTACTAGAAGTTAAAAATTATTCGATTACTTATCGCATGATTATATTTATCCATTACCTGATTTTATGCTTGATCGATTCTGTTTACAAATCTTACCTGAAATTCATCATAACATGGAAGGGCTTGAACTTGAATTCTCATCTATGAAATGTATTCTTCTTTCTGGAAATTATCCGAATTTATTTGGACTTCATATAATATTATATTAACAAATAGACTGATTTTAATCTATCTACTGGTGAGATATTTTTATAATCAATTCTTTTCATAATTAAGACGTCAAGATAGATAAAGAAATTGAAATGATTTATTTTATATAAACTCTTGATGCAGTTAGTGTTAGATGATTGCATATGTGATTTATCTTTTGTTTGTAAAAAGAAAAGAAAAGATCAATTGTCTTTAAATTAATTTTGTATTTATATTTAGATGAAACTTTTTTAATGCACAAATACAAAAATCAAATCTCATCATTCGTGATTGAAACTATTAACAAACAATGAAGCTCAGTGTATATGGACACATTTATATTCACACATTTCTTTAATATGTTCTGATTCTCTTTATTCACTTGATGGTCGCTTCAATCAACTTTGAACATTCTATGTTGATAAAGCATTTGCATTTTATCGTTCCCTCTTAACAATAAATAACGTATGTTTTTATTTTAAACTTCATCAATATCCATTTTATTTTTTTTTAGGAAAAAATGTCAAATTTATGATGTTTTTCGTTGTACTGTCTTTCGAAAATGCGTATCTATGATCAAGTAATCATACCAGTTTCACATCGAATGTCAAATTTAGAACAACTTAGTTTGTATTTATTGGTCGATCGTAATAATGGATTTATTGATGAAAGTGATTTACAGCAAAATATTATTAATTATATGCCACGTTTAAATGAATTTCGGTTATATAGTCGTTTAACTATATTGCTAAACAATCAAATTATTTCTTGTGTCAATTATTTTCAAGAAGCAGAAAAAAGTGAGTGTCATATCTATTAATGATCATATACATTAAGAAGTTATGAAAATATGGTGAATAATTTTCCAGATGGATTATTTACATGTGTTTGTGAAATATCATTATTTGATGAAGATTCTTTTGAATATGAATGCTTTATTCGAATTGTTCAATCATTTCCATTTATGAAAAACTTAACTATAATTAATCAAGAACCAAAAAACCATCAACAATATAGGAAATAAAAAAATAACAATCCAGATTTATTAATTATTCAATATCCTCATCTTACATATCTTGATTTGGATGAGACTCATGATGATAATGTCGAACAATTTCGTGTTTACCATATAGTGTTAATCTTTTTATCGATTATAAACTTTTGACAAGAATAACATACAATTTTACACGAAAAGCAACACGAATTAATTGTTCTAAAGTGAGATATATATATTTAGATAGAATTTTTCGATTTCCAAAACATTTCAAACATTATTTTCTTAATACAAAGATAAATGCACATCAATAAAAAACGCAGATCTTGAAAAAAATGCTGTCAGCACCATCTAGTATTAACAAAATCATTATTTTTCCTCTCAGTATTCCATATTTAACAATAAAAGTAGCTGTTTGTCCTACAGATGACAAGAAATTTAGCAATTGATTTAGGTCAATTTAATATTCGGTTAAGACTCAATTCAATAAGTACACAATAGAAAATCATGTTTCAAAGGATTCTCACAAATCTATAACGAGGGTGTGGGATGTGGATGTATGTTCACATGTTCTTATACGCCCACACCCACATCTAGAGAACCTATTGATTAGTGAATAATTGTGATACTTTTCGATTTGAGATAGGTTATGAACATTTTTATCAATATATAGTTTGACAAAACCGTAGCGAAAATTAGCAGCACAGATACTCGATTCTGTTGTTTGTTTTCTAGGTTATTGATGTTAAAATAGCGATCAATCACAGATTTTTGTTTGACTAACGGATGAACATGATGCTCATTGTGTTGAGTATGATAATCAACAATGTTTTCGAGGCGAAGTCGCTTTCAGTTGAACGTACAGTGGGTGATTTGGTCTAGGCTTGCTTTTCAGGTAGCATTTATCGACTTACAAGCT